TGTCTATGAGGCCCCCAGTTCTTGCAGATGGTATAGCTGCCATTCATCTTGGCAAAATGCCTCCAGGTCATGCAAAGTCTTTGGTCGTCTTGCATGAACCGCACATCTGAGATCTCCCCAGAGGGGATCGATGATATTAAGGTCAAGAGACTGTGATGGTCACTCCAGAGCCTTCACCTTTTTCCACTGTAACCACTGGAGCAGTGGTTCTCAACCTGTGGGTCGCGACCCCTTTGGGGGTCGAACGACCCTTTCACAGGGGTCCCCTAAGACCATCAGAAAAACACATATTTCCGATGTGTAAAGAGCAGCTACTGTGTAGAAAGCAGCTGCTGTGTTGAAAGCAGCAGTATTGGAGGTAAAACGACACTCATGAATTATAATTACTGGGTAAATAATTTTATGGTTGGGGGTCACCACAACATGAGGAACTGTATTAAAGGGTCACGGCATTAGGAAGGTTGAGAACCACTGCACTGGAGGGTCAACGTGGCCTTACTCTTCAGGTCATTGTCACCCAAAAGCGTCCCATGCATAGCTTTAATGCAGAAGAATGCAAATTGTCTGCCAGTATTTCCTGAAAACATGCTGCATTCATCTTGCCATCAATTTTCACAAGATTCCCGTGCCTTTACAGCTCACCCCCCCCCTCCTCAAAATCAATAAGCTACCACCATGCTTCACAGTGGGGATGGTATTCTTGTCACTGTTGACCCCTCTCCAAACATAGTGCTTATGGTTGTGACCATAATGCTCTATTTTGCTCTCATGACTCCAATTACAGTGTGCCAGAAGCTGCGAGGTGTGTCAAGGTGTTGTTGGGCATATTGTAACTGAGCATTTTTGTGGTATGACCGACTTGTGGTGCTGGCCCAAGTCAGGCAATGTAAGGTAAGCCCACTAATGCGCTGGAAGCAGGAGCAAGCGTCCTGACACCATCCAGGGGTGTAGAGTCACAGGGTAAATGAGGACGCTGCTGAGATCCAACCCACATGGAGTAACGGAGAGTGTGTGTGTGTGTGGCCTCAGCCCTCACTCTGGCCATGCTCTCTTCAGTGGGCTTTTTTGTGGCATTGGTGCAGTAAAGGCTTCTTTTTGGCAACTTGACCATGCAGTTCATTTTTGTTCAAGAATTGTGCTGTTTGAAACAACCACACCATCTTTTTTTTGCAGAGCAGCCTGTAATTTTCCTGAGGTTACCTGTGGGTTTTTTATTATATCCTAAACAATTCTGGCAGTTGTGGCTGCAATCTTTCTTCATCTACCTGACCTTGGCTTGGTGTCAAGAGATTCCCAAATTTCTCACTTCTTAATAAGTAATTGGGCAGTATTGACTGGTATATTCAAGGCTTTGGATATCTTTTTATATCCTTTACCATCTTTATAAAGTTCCACTACCTTGTTACGAGGTCTTTTGACCTTTCTTTTCTGCTCCCCATGGCTCAGTATCTAGCCTGCTCAGTGCTTCCACGTGAGAGCTAACAAACTCATTGACTATTTACACACTGACAGTAACTTCAATTTAAAAAGCACAGATGTGAGAAATTAACCTCTAATTGGCATTTTAACCCGTGTGTGTCACCTTGTGTGTCTGTACCAAGGCCATACATTCCAGGGGGCGGAGACTTCTGATCCAGGGGCGGGGCGGAGACTTCTGATCCAGGGGCGGAGACTTCTATCCGGGCCATTTGGGTGATTTCTGTTATCATTATGATTTAAAAAGGAGCCTAACAACTATTTGATAATAAATGGCTTCATATGATCATCATCCTTCAATAAAAGACAGTTTTTGGCATAACCAGTCATATTTTCAATATCAATACCAAAATTTCATGATTTCTGCCAGGGGATGAAAACTTTTGAGCACAACTGTATAACCAATTGTCATCAGCTCAGTTCATAAATTGTCCAAATTTGTCAAAGGTACAAAAGATAAATAAATAAATAAATATGCATAGCACCAAAATAGCTTTGTTAAGGCTGGTTTCCGTTTATATACTTTTGATCAATTAATTTTTAAAAACAATTGGAATGAAATGAATGGGATATTCATAATAATGAATGGGAAAGTGCATGCTTCATCTATGTAAAGAAGCCCCCTTAAAAAAGAGGAAAAGGAAAGGAACCGGAAGTGGCATGTCGGCCATTTTGAGGATTGGCAAAACCGCATGCCAAGTGAAAAATAAGCTGCTCGGCAACCCAAGAGGGTTCTGTGGCATGGGAATAGGCGATTTTCTATGTTTTAATGTAAGCAGATGTAATAAATGTATTATATTATAAAAACAGAATTACACTATATGCATATATTTATACATTCATTATACAGTTGCAAGAAAAAGTGTGTGAACCCCTTGGGATTAAGTAGAGTTTTGCATGAATCGGGGCATAAAATGTGCTCTAAAACGTCATCTAAGTCACAACAATAGAAGAACACAGTCTGCTGATAATACTACACAAACATTAGATGTTGCCGTGGTTTTAAATTGCACATAACATGTAAACATTCACAGTGCAGGGAGGAAAAAGTATGTGAACTTTTGGACTTAATAACTGGTTGACCCCTCCTTTGGCAACAATTAACCTCAACCAAACGTTCCTGTAGTTGCAGATCAGACCTACACAATGATCTGGAGTTTTTGCACCACTGTATTTCACAAAACTGTTTCAGTGTAGCAATATTCTTGGGATGTCTGGTGTGAATCGCTCTCTTAAGGTCAAGCCACAGCATTTCAATCGGGTTGAGGTCAGGACTCTGATTGGGCCACTCCAGAAGGCGTATTCTGTGCTGTTGCAGCCATTGTTTTGTTGAATTACTTGTATGCTTTGGGTCATTGTCCTGTTGCATCACCCATCCTTTGCGGATCTTCAGTTGGCAGACAGATGGTCGTACGTTTTCCTGCAAAAGGTCTTGATAAACTCTGGAATTCATTTTCCCATCAATGACAACAATCTGTCCAGGCCCTGAGGTAGAAAAGCAGCCCAAAACCATGATGCTCCCTCCGCCATGTTTTATATAGTGGGGATGAGGTTTTGATGTTGGTGTGCTGTGCCTTTTTTTCTCCACACATAGTGTTGTGTGTTCTTCCCAAAAGAAACTCAATCTTGGTTTTCATCTGTCCACAATATATTTTGCAAGTAGTGCTGTGGAACATCCAGTGACTCTTTTGCAAACTTCAAACGTGCTGCAATATTCTTTTTGGACAGCAATGGCTTCCTCCGTGGTGTCCTCCCATGTACTCCATTCTTGTTGAATGTTTCCCTTATTGTAGATGTGTCAACAAAAATGTTAGCATGTGCCAGAGATTTCTGTAGGTTTTTAGCTGACACTCTTGGTTTCTTCTTTACCTCATGCAGCATTCTGCGCTGTGCTCTTGCAGTCATTTTTTTACAGGACGACCACGCCTAGGAGAGTAGCAACAGTGCTAAACTTTCTCCATTTGTAGACAGTCTGTCTTACCACCGTGAGACACATGAACATCAAGGCTTTTGGAGATACTTTTGTAACCCTTTCCAGCTTCATGCAAGTCAACAATTTCTTGATCGTAGGTCTTCTGAGAGCTCTTTTCTGCGAGGCATGGGTTCACATCAGAACAGTGCTTCTTGAAACCAGTAAACCCAAAACAGGTGTGAGATTACTTTTTTTAAGGGCAGGACAGCTGTCAGCAACACATCCAATATCATCACACTGATTGGAGTCAAAGTTGGCTCACTCCTGGCTCCAATTAGCTCTGGCAGAAATCATTTAAGCTAGGGCCTCACATACTTTTTCCTCCCTGCACTGTGAATGTTTACATGTTATGTGCAATTAAACCATGGCAACATCTAATGTTGTTATGTCCAGGTAGTTCAGATCTAGTATTATGTTCAGCAGACTGTGTTCTTCTATTATTGTGTGACTTAGATGACGTTCAGAGCAAATGTTATGTCCCCAATTCATGCAAAACTCCACGTAATCCCAAGGGGGTCACATACTTTTTCTTGCAACTGTAGGAGCACCCTGGAGGCTTGGGAATGTTGATCTGAACCATGGGAATGATCAGGAGATTTAGTGGATGACATCCTAAGAGGCATACTGCAGGAGTGGAGGAAAGGAATGAATGTATGCTGATTCCTACTATATGTTTCAGGCGTTTTCCTTTATATATTTGGTAAGAGTATATATGTTGTTCCACTATCGAAGTTTTCACTTTTGTGATCACTTTTTTGGTTGTACTCACTGAGTGACGCACCAATTTTCACTTTGCACAGCATTCACGTTTTTGGCACTAATTTTGAAGTTTTACACATTTTTGTGAGAGTTTTTTGATATATTTTGGTGATTTAAGGTAATACACTATGTAGTGTTTCTTTTTTCTTTTGAGGTAATTTTTGTCGTTTACGAGCCAGTGGAGGGGCTCAGCACCAAAGAAAGTGACAAGCTGGATTTTTGGACACTTTATTGATTGAAGTGACTTTATTACTTGACTTATAATTTTGAGTGAATCACAAACGTTAACCTGAGGATAACGTTTATTTTTGGATTGCGTTGTGCATTTAGGTTTGGGAATTGAGGTTTAGAATTTTTGTTATAGTGGGGGGGTTTTACATATTAGTTTTGTTGATATAACAATTTGCACTTTCAAGGTGAGAGTGATTTCTCTAGTATTTTGAAGGGTTCATATATTATTAATAATTGTGGTAGGTGACACCGTAATTTATATATATAGTTGTAATAAAATGAACATATAGTCATCCATTCAGATTACTCTCCCGGACGAATCCCCAAACCATGAGCATGACTGACATCCAATGGAGTCACTGGGCTGGACCCACAAGCCCTTCACACACGTCTGTATCCAGGGAATGTGCGGTGCAGCTTTTGTACGTTATATGTAAATCCAGACAATTGCAAGTTTTTCAGCAAAGTACATGTGTGTGAATAGATCTCCCCCCATGACAGCTCTGGTATGGAACCTCAAACTCCTGAATAAAAGACCCCCTGATCACTGCATAGAATTTACCTTTTTAAGTCCAGCCAGGCTCCCAAATACAGATGGGTGGGACAGTCTATTGTCGTCCAACATCAGGATTTCCAGACATGGGAACATTGTCATATTGTCATCATTCCTACATAGGAAGAGAATTTTAGATGATTTTAGCTATAGGTTTTGTGACACCCCAAGTAAAACCCACATACTACTAATGTGAGATATGGGTTCAGGTCTATGTCACACTTGTCCCCGTCTCTCTCTCGCCCATTGTATATTTTCAGGTCTATGTCACACTTGTCCCCGTCCTCTCTTGCCCATTGTATAGGTTCAGGTCTATGTCACACTTGTCCCCGTCCTCTCTTGCCCATTGTGTAGGTTCAGGTCTATGTCACACTTGTCCCCGTCCTCTCTTCCCATTGTATAGGTTCAGGTCTATGTCACACTTGTCCCCGTCCTCTCTTGCCCGTTGTATAGGTTCAGGTCTATGTCACACTTGTCCCTGTCCTCTCTCGTCCATTGTATAGGTTCAGGTCTATGTCACACTTGTCCCCGTCCTCTCTTGCCCGTTGTATAGGTTCAGGTCTATGTCACACTTGTCCCCGTCCTCTCTTGCCCGTTGTAGGTTCAGGTCTATGTCACACTTGTCCCCTTCCTCTCTTGCCCGTTGTATAGGTTCAGGTCTATGTCACACTTGTCCCCGTCCTCTCTTGCCCGTTGTATGGTTCAGGTCTATGTCACACTTGTCCCCTCCCTCTCTTGCCCGTTGTATAGGTTCAGGTCTATGTCACACTTGTCCCCGTCCTCCCTTGCCAGTTGTATAGGTTCAGGTCTATGTCACACTTGTCCCCGTCCTCTCTTGCCCATTGTATAGGTTCAGGTCTATGTCACACTTGTCCCCGTCCTCTCTCGCCATTGTAGAGGTTCATGTCTATGTCACACTTGTCCCCGTCCTCTCTTGCCGTTGTATAGGTTCAGGTCTATGTCACACTTGTCCCCGTCCTCTCTCACCCATTGTATAGGTTCAGGTCTATGTCACACTTGTCCCCGTCCTCTCTTGCCCATTGTATAGGTTCAGGTCTATGTCACACTTGTCCCCGTCCTCTCTCGCCCATTGTAGAGGTTCATGTCTATGTCGCACTTGTCCCCATCCTCTCTTGCCCGTTGTATAGGTTCAGGTCTATGTCACACTTGTCCCCGTCTCTCTCACACCCGTTGTATAGGTTCAGGTCTATGTCACACTTGTCCCCGTCCCTCTCACGCCCATTGTATATTTTCAGGTCTATGTCACACTTGTCCCCGTCCTCTCTCGCCCATTGTATAGGTTCAGGTCTATGTCACACTTGTCCCCGTCCTCTCTTGCCCGTTGTATAGGTTCAGGTCTATGTCACACTTGTCCCCGTCCCTCTCTTGCCCATTGTATAGGTTCAGGTCTATGTCACACTTGTCCCCGTCCTCTCTTGCCCATTGTATAGGTTCAGGTCTATGTCACACTTGTCCCCATCCTCTCTTGCCCGTTGTATAGGTTCAGGTCTATGTCACACTTGTCCCCGTCCTCTCTTGCCCGTTGTATAGGTTCAGGTCTATGTCACACTTGTCCCCGTCCTCTCTTGCCCGTTGTATGGGTTCAGGTCTATGTCACACTTGTCCCCTTCCTCTCTTGCCCGTTGTATAGGTTCAGGTCTATGTCACACTTGTCCCCGTCCTCTCTTGCCCGTTGTATAGGTTCAGGTCTATGTCACACTTATCCCCGTCCTCTCTTGCCCATTGTATAGGTTCAGGTCTATGTCACACTTGTCCCCTTCCTCTCTTGCCCGTTGTATAGGTTCATGTCTATGTCACACTTGTCCCCGTCCTCTCTTGCCCACGTTGTATAGGTTCAGGTCTATGTCACACTTGTCCCCGTCCTCTCTCACCCATTGTATAGGTTCAGGTCTATGTCACACTTGTCCCCGTCCTCTCTTGCCCATTGTATAGGTTCAGGTCTATGTCACACTTGTCCCCGTCCTCTCTTGCCCATTGTATAGGTTCAGGTCTATGTCACACTGGTCCCCGTCCTCTCACACCCATTGTATAGGTTTAGGTCTATGTCACACTGGTCCTCGTCCTCTCTCACGCCCATTGTATAGGTTCAGGTCTATGTCACACTTGTCCCCGTCCTCTCTTGTCCATTGTACAGGTTCAGGTCTATGTCACACTTGTCCCCTTCCTCTCTTGCCCGTTGTATAGGTTCATGTCTATGTCACACTTGTCCCTGTCCTCTCTCGCCCATTGTATAGGTTCAGGTCTATGTCACATTTGTCCCCGTCCTCTCTCTCGCCCATTGTATAGGTTCAGGTCTATGTCACACTTGTCCCCGTCCTCTCTCTTGCCCGTTGTATAGGTTCAGGTCTATGTCACACTTGTCCCCGTCCTCTCTCACCCATTGTATAGGTTCAGGTCTATGTCACACTTGTCCCCGTCCTCTCTTCACCCATTGTATAGGTTCAGGTCTATGTCACACTTGTCCCCGTCCTCTCTGCCCATTGTATAGGTTCAGGTCTATGTCACACTTGTCCCCGTCCTCTCTCTCACGTCCATTGTATAGGTTCAGGTCTATGTCACACTTGTCCCTGTCCTCTCTCGCCCATTGTATAGGTTCAGGTCTATGTCACACTTGTCCCCGTCCTCTCTTGCCCATTGCATAGGTTCAGGTCTATGACACACTGTCCCCGTCCTCTCTTGCCCATTGTATAGGTTCAGGTCTATGTCACACTTGTCCCCGTCCTCTCTCGCCCATTGTATAGGTTCAGGTCTATGTCACACTTGTCCCCGTCCTCTCTCGCTCATTGTATAGGTTCAGGTCTATGTCCCACTTGTCCCCGTCCTCTCTCACCCATTGTATAGGTTCAGGTCTATGTCACACTTGTCCCCGTCCTCTCTCACCCATTGTATAGGTTCAGGTCTATGTCACACTTGTTGTCCCTGTCCCTCTCTCGCCCATTGTATAGGTTCAGGTCTATGTCACACTTGTCCCCGTCCTCTCTCGCCCATTGTATAGGTTCAGGTCTATGTCACACTTGTCCCCGTCCTCTCTCACGTCCATTGTATAGGTTCAGGTCTATGTCACACTTGTCCCTGTCCTCTCTCGCCCATTGTATAGGTTCAGGTCTATGTCACACTTTGTCCCCGTCCTCTCTTGCCCATTGCATAGGTTCAGGTCTATGACACACTGTCCCCGTCCTCTCTTGCCCATTGTATAGGTTCAAGGTCTATGTCACACTTGTCCCCGTCCTCTCTCGCCCATTGTATAGGTTCAGGTCTATGTCACACTTGTCCCCGTCCTCTCTCTCGCTCATTGTATAGGTTCAGGTCTATGTCCCTCTTGTCCCCGTCCTCTCACACCCATTGTATAGGTTCAGGTCTATGTCACACTGGTCCCCGTCCTCTCACGTCCATTGTATAGGTTCAGGTCTATGTCACACTTGTCCCCCTGTCCTCTCTCGCCCATTGTATAGGTTCAGGTCTATGTCACACTTGTCCCCGTCCTCTCTTGCCCATTGCATAGGTTCAGGTCTATGACACACTGTCCCCGTCCTCTCTCGCTCATTGTATAGGTTCAGGTCTATGTCACACTTGTCCCCGTCCTCTCTTGCCCATTGTATAGGTTCAGGTCTATGTCACACTTGTCCCCGTCCTCTCTCGCCCATTGTATAGGTTCAGGTCTATGTCACACTTGTCCCCGTCCTCTCTCGCTCATTGTATAGGTTCAGGTCTATGTCACACTTGTCCCCGTCCTCTCTTGCCCATTGCATAGGTTCAGGTCTATGACACACTGTCCCCGTCCCTCTCTTGCCCATTGTATAGGTTCAGGTCTATGACACACTGTCCCCGTCCTCTCTTGCCCATTGTATAGGTTCAGGTCTATGTCACACTTGTCCCCATCCTCTCTCACCCATTGTATAGGTTCAGGTCTATGTCACACTTGTCCCCGTCCTCTCTCACCCATTGTATAGGTTCAGGTCTATGTCACACTTGTCCCCGTCCTCTCTCGCCCATTGTATAGGTTCAGGTCTATGTCACACTTGTCCCCGTCCTCTCTCGCCCATTGTATATTTATGTTTTCTGATTATCGCAGTTGCCAAAATTGTAGTGAGGATATTGTCGATGCGGTTAGGCTAACCTGGTAAATGGCAGCCAATTACGAGGGGCAACATAAAAGTTTCTCGGCCTACCCATGAAGCATTTGTCTTAGCCCAATTTTATTTTTGCTCCTCATAGTACATATCTTTGCAAGGTTCCATACCAAATTTCTCACAAATAGCTTTTTCTTGGTTTCAGTTATTGAAGACTGAAGGTCATCATTGTCTGAAAGATGGAGAAAGTGAGCAAACGTGCTGTTATCCAATACCTGCTGAAAAAGGGATGAGTGGACAGGACATCCACAAGGACATGGAAACATTAAGTGAGGATGCCCCTTCCTATGCCTCTGTTTATAAAGTGGGTGGTGGAATTCCAGAGGGGGAACCCCTCTATCCAAGATGCCCCTCGCAGTGGAAGGCCAGCAACTGCCTGTACGGAGGAAAACACCACAGCAATCCAGGATCTCGTAACGGCAGACAGGCGTGTGACAGAACGTTTCATCGCAGAGAAAGTGGGCATATCCCAGGAACATGTTGGACACATTTTAACCACTTCCAGTCCGGACACTTCCCCCCCCCCCCTTCCAGTCCAGGCCAATTTTCAGCTTTCAGCGCTATCACACTTTGAATGACAATTGTGCGGTCATGCAACACTGTACCCATATGAAATTGTTAGCATTTTTTGAGACAGATAAAACTTTATTTTGGTGGTATTTATTCACCGCTGGGATTTTTTATTTTTTTTGCTATATACCGTATTTTCCGGCGTATAAGACGACTTTTTACCCCTTTAAAATCTTCTCAAAAGTCAGGGGTCGTCTTATACGCCGGTATACGGCATGCTGACACTTTTTAGGGGGGCAGCGCGGTGGCGCAGTGCCACCGCCCCTCCCCCTTCCAAGGGACACTAAGTACAGGGGTGGGCAGGGGCTGCTGTTTCTTACCTGGCTCCGGTCCCACGACGATCCGGTCCAGGAAGCGCGGCTGCTCCTTCATTCGGTTCGGCTACTGGATGTTC